TGGAGAGCAATCGATGAGGAACATCTTCGAAACCTAGTTTCTCGTATGCCACGCAGGCTCTTTGATGTTGCTCTTAAACAAGGAAGAGCTATAGATTATCAAGTGTTGTACATATGCCATCAACATTAATAAATCATTTACTTTCTCAGGGTGACCTTATAATTATGAAACGGTGCAAAAGCCGATACTATCTTCAAAAAATTCGTAAAAAAATTTGAGGTGAAGGATATTGCGACAAAAATTTGAATACGGAGGTATATTGTGATGAGGAATCTTCCAAAGTTTGCCGCAAAATTCCATTCGGCTGCTTTCTCCAGAATCGCAAAAATCGAGGGTGACCTTATATTCATGAAACGCACTGTATGTGCGTAAACGAACCTACTTACAAGGTTCCCAAAATGGATGCCACGCCGAGTTTTTGAAAATGCACACTTTTTCACTTCATCTGAATTCTGCGATACTGCTACTGATTCGAGGTCAACCGTTTGCTATGTCTAAACCTTCGCATCGCCATAACTTTTGTTAAGGTGCTCCAATCGAGTGCAAGTAAAACCATCTGAAAGCTCTGCTGAAAAATCCATACATGGTAGATTTTCTGTTTTCATTTTTTTGTTTTCTTTCTAAAAAGGATTAAGATCGAGTTCTGCAGCACGAAGGGTGTTGAATGCTGGTACACAAAAACCCTCCACATCAATGTAAAATTGGTTCACAGGTTTTGAAATTCACGATTGGCATTATATTCGAGAGCAGCACAGAGTCCTGATCATTTCGATATCTTTCGCGACATAATTCAAACACCTTCAGTAGAAAGCGGCGGTTGAATTACCAGTTTCTCGACATTTGTTACTTCTTTCCGGTCATCTATTCTAATCGAAGACTAGTGACAGCCTTGCCAGTGAAGAATCCAGGCACACAACAATTAATTTATTTTCTTCAGTTTTGCGATCTCATTTCCAGGAAAATGGGCGAATTACTCTTCGAGTAGCTGAGGAGTAACCTGCGGATACTCATCATGATAAATCTTCCAGTCCAGTTGAAACATCGATCATAACTTTTTGAACGGCGCGATGTCCGAGGAGATAATAAAATTGTGCTCATTTTGATTCAGTTCCAGCTGAAAACAGTGATACATATTACCGAGCTTTGAAGAATTTGCTAGTTCTATCCAAAAGTGCATTTCATGGGCAGTGAAGTAGTTTCGCACTCAATTGGAGCCTTCGGCTATGTCATACGAGGATTACATGCCAGAGTGGTCGCAGGTATGGAATCAACACAAGTTTTCGTCTCGAGGTTCATGTTGATTTCTAATTAATATAAATTCTGCGATTGCTTAAAATGTTGGTCAGCTATTATAGGGTTAGAAACGGCTTCGGTTGAAAAGTTTTATTTAATTGTGATTATACAAAATCATACTTGAATAGTTAATTAACATTGCGTACTCAAAGAGGATCGTGCTTGAATACAAGTAGGCTCAATTTTTGGAGTTATGATTCTGAGCTGTGATAATTGCACTGCACTTGATTAATTATTGTGCTGCGCATGGGCAATGTAAGACTCTGATGACGGATGGATGAATCGCCTTCTAATAGAATGTTGGGCTAATTGACTCCTCGCTATTGTTCTAAGTTGGCCCATCGCCTTCCAATTGCGGTGTCATAGAAGAGCAGCCTAGGGGCAAAGAATGATATGCAACTGGCAGAAAGCAACGAGTGAGAAATGCAGTTTAACTTCAAGCATCATACTACTTGTACTACTTTAAATCGCCTGCAACTCCACTTTCTGTTTGTTCGAAACCGCTTCCTTGATTTGCCCAGAGCTTCCATGTTAAGAGAACGGGGGAGCATTGAATCAGAACTGGCCCAGTTGGCCTAGAGAACACATTGGTCCTCAACGATGTTATTTTAGTGTTTGCATGCGCTGTGCACGACTACGGATCCAAACCCCTAAGGATTCCCAGTCGAATGTAAACAGGAGACGCAAGCAATCTCTCTGCTTAATTGGACTGGGTAAACTTGTAAACATTTCGGCCAATCACTCGATAACGCCTCTAACTGGCCCCACCAACCTAGTAAATCTCATGAACTACCCAAAGCATTAAACATACAGCAAATTCCATGACACTGAAAATGGAATTATCAAACGCTATCCATACGGAATATTTACATGATCGAAACATGAATATTCAATTATTCACTGCAGTGAAAACATACATATTCAATACTAATTCGATGAACTATTTACAATTACTGTAGGATAGCGAAATGGGTGGTTCTTCGAACTGAGATACCATTCCATATGTGGATCTTTGCGGGATGCTTGGCCCTACTTCTCATCCTCGACTACTAGACCCATCGTTTTACGAAGCAGTACTTGTTTGAGCAGTCACTGAAAGTGAACTTGAGAAAACTTTAAAATTTCCATAAAGCATTACGTTATTCATACTTTGCTCAGTGCATTCATCGGTGAATACACAGTTGGAAAATGTCATTCCTTCAGCAAGCTTTTCAGAGCAGAAGTATAGACGAGCTTCTTCACAGCTGTCCCCTACTGTGCGACAGTGTCGTAAGCCCTGAGGCCTTTGGCAACACTTTGCGACTTGCCGAGCTATTATTCTTACAACACCCTTCATTTTCCAAGAGAATGNCATCGTAGTGGACTGAAACACATTGGTCCTAAATTGTCAAAGAGAAAAAATTGTTCTTACAAATTATGGAAAGCGCGCGGTGTGAAGGATCTCCTAGGGTGGGCACGCCTTCACGCCGGAAACTCCGCAAATAGTTCATCTGATTAGTATTGAACGCATGCCTTTTCAATGCAATAAAGAAATCGTGTGTTCGTGTTTCGTCCATATAAAGATTCTGTCTGGTTGGCATATGATGATTCACTTTTATGACAATTAAAATTTCCCTTCACTCATTGTTTTGCCCACTGTGTTGAACGATACATCAGCTGTCAAGACCGGTGAGCAAAGCATGTCATGACACAACTTGACCATCATTAGTCGGCCAATTAAGAGGTTCTTTCTACTGCTGAGGCAGAGACAGACAGAGTCGCAATCAGATGGTTTGCCAAGTTGTTCACAGGGTAAACCGGCCCAATGACCCAGAAGGGAGACTTGCTTCCCATCTTTGTACTCGACTGGGGATCCTTAGGAGTTCGGATCCGTAGCCATGCCCAGTTTTTGCAAACACTAAAGTAACATCATTGGGGAGCGATGTGCGCTTCTCTGGGCCAAATGGTAACCTTCTTAGGGCCATGTGGAGCTGGGCAGCAAAACAAGGAAGCGGTTTAGAACAAGCAAAAAGTAGAGATGCAGACGATTTAAAGTAGTACAAGTAGTACGATGCTTAAAGTTGAACGGCTTTTTCATAGTGATGCTATTTCTTTCTGCCTGTTGCCATGCTGTGCCACTGGACGTGCTTGTATGGACACGGCAATAGGAATAGGCAATATGTGCCAATATAGATCAATTAGCTCACATTCACTTAGAAAGCGATTGAGCCATCTATCATCAGAGTTCTATATCGCCTATGCGGAGCACAATGATTAATAAAGTACAGTGCAATTATTACAACTTAGAATCATGACTCCAAAAATCGAGTCTACTTGTAAACAAGCATGATCTTCTTTAAGTACGCAATGGTAATCTACTATTCAAATTTGATTTTATGTAATTATAAAGAAGCGAAGGCTTCCAAACCGTAGTCGCTTCTAGGCCAAATCATAGCTGATCAACATTGAAAACAATCGCAAACTGCACATTAATTAAAAATCAATATGAACCTGGAGATGAAATGTTGATCGCATAACGACCAGTATAGCATGTCCTTGTATAACATAACCGAAGGCTACGAGTGTGATGCCACCTCGTTCGCCAAGAAATGCACTTTTGAAAAAACTGGCAAATTGTTCTAAATCCAGTAATTTTGATCCTGCTTTCAGCTAAAGCTCTATAAACTCCGTCATTAATGACATCATTGGGCACAATTTCGTGATCTCCTCGAACGTAGCACCATCCAAAAAGTCAGGATGGATGTTTTAACTGAACTGATTTACCATAATGTGTATCTGCAAGTTACTCCTCAGGCATTTGAAGACCTATAGAGACATACTCCTTTTTTCCTGGAAATAAGGCTGCAAAATTTAAGAAAATAATACAATTATTGCATGCTTGTATTTCTCAAAAACAGAGCTATCCACGGGTCTTCTATTTGAAGAGATGGCTGACATGAAGTGGCAAATGTTTAGAGAACTGATAATTCAAGCCACTGCTTCAGCTGAAAATGTTCGAAGATATCAAAATGATCAAGACTCTAGGCTATCCTCGATTTCATTATTGATTCCAAAATCTGAGAACGAAGTTTCCAATTAAAGTGGAGGGCTACGTGCTGATACATCCACAAATAACATCCTAGGTGCTGAGAGACGCATTCTTCATATTTCCTGAAAAAGGGGGAGCAATGCGCCCTTCACAAACTGATAATTCATATTATCGTGTTATATTGGGATGTTCGGAAAGTTATTGCGGTTTTGTGCCTTTCAAAAAAAAGTCCTTTTTTTTCGCAAAGTTCGTCTCTCATAGAACTGCTAATCTTAGTGGCAAAAATTCAGACTACACAAGGTTTCATATCCTCACCTTCAGTGTGTTTTTTCATAAAGGAATTAGGGAACGACCGAAATAAGTGTTATTCTGACTTTCCGAGATCAGTGCTATATAGTGGATCTGCGTTAACTTTCAAGCAACTACTATATTTTTTATAGAGCCACTAGGGATGTATGCGATCTAGTCTTGTCTTTGTGCTTCCCTACACCCTCACGCTCGCTACATTTGCAGGGCTTTTTCCACTGCTTCATCAAGTTCCATTGAAAAGGGATCAAGGAAAATATTTTCGTTCCCTGGAAGCTCCTCAAACTACATCACATACATTAATCCAAGCGAATTAATAGCGTGACCCTTTCCCGATGAAGAGTTTCGGACCTCGTATGAGCAAGTTCATAAAATATTGACCAGAGCAGCATTACGTGAACATTCCACTTTTATCACCAGTCACTATTCGCTTCAGAAGTGGCCGTCTCCATTGTGTTCGAAGTCCAAGCGCAGCAACTTTTCGCAGGCCATGCTAATTTCCTCATACGTCTCCTGAACATTTAGCTTTTGCACTAATCCAGGTACTTCGATATTCTCGCTAACTATCCAGTTGGAAGCGTTAGTCTTCTCAGCAAATACATGACGGTCGCGGTCAATGCCATCCTAAGATCGTCATTAGTGCCTACTGTCAGAGCGCAAATTTGTAAAGCTGTTCTTGCATATGCTATGTGATGAGGCATTTCCAGCTTTCTGCACGATAAATAAGATTAAAAAGAAAAAATTCCGAAGATATCTAACTGGCTCTCCACGCTGAAACTGATCCTAAAATTACAACTGAAAACGAAATCAGTTTTTTTTTTCATAAAGAAAGTAAAAATATATACATGCAACATATTACAAATTGAAAGTCAAAATTACCTCCAAAAGCTTCTAAAACGTGTGTTTGAGAAAACAATATCGAAAATCGAGATTACTACTGAGCACTACTACTGATCAACCTGCTATCGTTTCCTGTTTTCCAGAACTCTTCACTAATTATGTGTAGCTATCATTTCGACGGAGTCGGCTTCTACATAGCCTGAAAGGATCGCTAAAATTCGCGAACATTCGATCAAACATCTCCACCGTCCCACTGAAGTTCTAGGCCTAGGGCACGCCGGTGATCGGAAGGAGAAGCACTCACTGTAGCTGTGTGGATTCTCCGAGATCACCCAGCAATTGATGTAGCAGTGCTGTAGCAGTAGTGGACATGTTTGATCGGATACTCAAAAATCGTTTCGATCTTCTCAGGCTCTGAAGAAGGCGATGCTGTCAAATCGTCAGCTTTGTAAAGCTTAAATATCAACCACGTGGTGTGAAGGTGGTGTGGTGGCAAGTGGCGCGCTTCACTCACGCATGGTCACGGGTTCGAATCCTGGATAGATATCTGCCTATGTCGACCAAGCCTTCCATCTCTCCGGGTCGGTTAATTTGTATCAGACTCGTCTGGGAGGGTAAAAGCGCCGCAAGTCATTGTATATGCCTCATGCTCACACAATACGCCACACGTTTCCGAGCGGAAGCCGAACGCGTTGGTGCATCCCTTGAACGGAATCGATTGACGTCCCAAGACTTGATCCTTTGAGGCTTTCATTTATACTTCAAAGATCGACGGAATTTTGCATTCCTTTTTCTGATTTTCACAAAAATTTTGAATATTGAAAAACTCTGAAAATTGAACAGCAACCTGAACTGATTTCCAGCCTCTATAAGATACTTGGCATAGCGCATGCTTCGTCGCGCTTCCCAATAGTATACGTCGCCGTAATTTTCGTGGAGAACTGCTTCTCCTCGATCGAAGAATATAGTCATCCTGCAATAGGGATTACATAAAATCAGTCGGATCCTCGGATCACGCCACGCACTCCTCCTTCGTGCAGCAATTCCAAAATGCTTGGGTGGCCTTCCATTCCATTTTTCAGAACAAATTAATCTTTTCAACACAAAATTTTACACAAATCTGATATAGCACCTCACAAGAGGAGAGGTCTGCTTAATCAGAACAATGCAGTTGGTATCTCTGTAGTGATGCTTAGCCCAGTTCGACCCTTACGTTAAACCGTTATTAGACGTCCTAATTTACGACTCTTCTCATTTTAGTGCATATACACTTTGGCAAGGGATCTCCCATTATTGGGGTCGAGCACGCTTTGTCGCAAATTAGTTGGAATTAGGACAAAAACGGATCCTGGCGGCAAAATTCCGCTTTTGGTTATGCCCTACTCTTGAGGCAAGGGAGGATCATCTTTCCATTCTAATTATATAGTGGTCATTTTGGACAGTCTTTACCTTTTCTTTCTCATTTTTGTCGGAAGGGCGCAACTGTTCAGATGGTCACAAAATCACATCAATCAAAAAACGCGCCCGGTCCACTCGGCACACTGGGCGATTATTGAGTGGATCCTTGGAGACGCTAAAAGAACGCCAGGACCGTTCGATGATCAGACTTATTCACTCGAATACTCTCAACGCAAGGAGTGTTTCGATAATCGTGCAAGAACGCTCCACTCGACTACATCGGCTTATGACAGACGGATAGAGAAGTTACAGTGTGACACGGGTGATACGTACACAAAAAATACTAGCACACTAGCAGACATACTTAGCGAATCGTGGGCGATAGGATAATTTTTATCTACGACAAGGATGAGAAGAACTCACTGGTCAGGATACTCTTTGAGGATGAGGTCTCTTAACGTTGCCGAATCGCCTTGGATCGAAATACACTCGAATTTCTTAGCTCGCACTTCGTCATAGGAGAAAAACCAACCGCGCCTCAAATACACATCCTATTTCTACTGGAAAAAAAAATTGAGCATGAAGAATTCGTGAGAATAGTACCATGAACTTTCGCTTTCCTGATGATAGAATCTAGAACCATCGATGCAAGGTCTGTGGTCGTACTTTAACTTGTACTCGTCACCCCAGCCCTCCTTGTACGGTTGTAGATAGACAACCTGATCCAGAAAAGGTCCATTCTCTATAAATTATAATCCCAAAATTGAGGTTTAAAAGTTCGTAAGATATTGTGAACGGTAGCATATATCATACTGGTTGTGAATTCCCTCCACTTACCTTCTTCGCAAAATAACCATTTACTCCGAAACAAGCAACTACTTTTCATCAGGTGCGAAGAAGGTTGAGAATTGCATGGGGATCAATCGCGTACTGGTTCAGAAGTACAGATGACGCAAGATTTTTCTATTCCTTCAAGAGTATTGACAACAGAAATTTCGCTCTGAAGTCTCTGCAGTCAATACTTCTGAAGGAAGATCGCAAGATGATTGCGCTTTCACAAATGACGGAAACTGTGAAATCCGTTCTCTTCATGGAATTCATGGAAACAGAGAGCTCAACTTCCAGACGATTTTCACCCTCAATTCAAAAGCTTTCATTCTGAGAACTCACCTTTCAGGAAATCCTCGAACTCCACTACAGGTATGAACTCGTTCAAACTTTCTACATCGAAAAACAAGGACCATCGTAATTTGATTCCCTGAGTCTGCCAGTGATAGAGACCTCCCCAGGGAGGAAGCACAAGGACGAAGGGTTCTCCTGAAAATACCAGCATTACGATAGCTTTTCGAGACTTTTCCGAAGTGCGACTTTGAAAATGTCTTTTATTCGAAGTCAGTGACCCTGTCCTGTCAACGGTCTTCTGTAACCAGCTCAGGCTGGTAGAAGGAGAGAAACTCGAGTTCAAAAAGCATTTGACGAGGTCTTACTTACCTGGTGGTGATATTGCTTGACTGGATGCCTCTGCTTTTCCTTCAGAATCCTCAGTTTGAAAGAGCGCACGCAATAAGTGCTAGAACTAAAACCTCAACATAGGGGCGATTCGCAATCAAAATGGTACAGTCGACTTCTGCCTTTTAAAGCTTCATCTGAATGCCCAACAAAATCCTGTTAACTCTGCAGCAACGGATTTTTTTATTAAGAGTTGCAACACCCCGAACTCTATAAAGATGTTCCTCGAAATATTCATTTGAGTCTTCAGGATACTTTGAAGTCTTGATAATTGAGATGAATCTTTTCATACTTTCCGGTTGGCTTCAGTATTTCGAAGATGCCTTGCGTGAATACTGCGAAATCAAACACATTTCATAAATGAAAGGGTTCAATATTAAAACAGAACTAGAACATAATCGTTGATTTCCTGCCAACACGCAAATAAAATTCCTCTTTCGTGTTCTGAGTTTTCTGAATAGAGTTAATGATTCAAAACGACTCGCATCCTGTCTGTAAGTGAGATTCTTGAGAGTAGCCCAGTCACACTCTCATAAGTGTATCTGAGTAACGTGCATAAAATGGATAGGATGGCTAAAAAAACTGACTCTGCGTTTTACTGTATTTTGCATACTGTATAGTAATCGAAACAGTATGGGCGAATGGCCAAAAAAGAAACGTGAGTCAATAGAAACACACCTCTCCTAATGGCTAGAAGTTATGAGAATGTATTTGAACTCACTCAGTTGGATGCACAATTCATCAAAGCTCTACTACACTTTTAATGTTGAGAATCTCCTGTTATATTCTAATGTGGCTTGAAAATTTGTGCAAAATAGAACAACCCAAATATTTCACATGTGCAGCGGATATCACTTCCCTCAGAATGCCCGAACATTCCGTGTATTCCCTGTACTGGACCCTATATTACTGAAGAACAATGTGAATCTGAACCCACCAGCTTTCCTGAGCAACCTCACAGTATTAGCTATCCTCATGTAAACGTCTCTCCTGAGATTGAAGCCTTCCCCATGATTGACATCGTAGATTAAATATCGTCTATCACGAGCCAGCGAATATTTATCGCTGTTTACCACAGACACTGTACTCCTATCGCACAAAGTATAACCTGTGTACAATAACAGAATCCAGGTCCATAAACATGGCATTTACGTCTGCAAGGAGGACTACTGAAGCACTTTCATTAGCAACAAGACAAGGACAGAAGGAGAGGTAAGGAGAGGAAACTCAATTATTTAAAGCATAGGCGAACTTCACCGGTAAAACATTCATGTTGGACTAGCGAAAAAAGAATCACGATATGAGGAAAGAATTCACAGTACCGAATCCATATTAAAACCTACGAAAATGAAATTGGTCAAATGACAGACATATTGCACACAAATGTTAAAGTGCTGCAGTAAAGCTACGCAAAAATTCGATAACATCATTATGCAGACTATATACATGATAAACATAGATTTGCTACTTCTTTACTAGCATGCGAAGCTAAAAGCGACTAAATACTTACAGCAAAATGTTAGGATTCAGAATGAGAAATGAAAATTCTGTTCTCCTCACTTTTTCGAAATGAACTTTGGTGCAGAGGGTTTCAAATGTTTCGAAATTGAACCTGTAGTCGAACGTGGGAGAGTATTGCTCACAGGAGAACTACTACGCGGCTCTTCACGCTAAGAATCGACAGAATCAATTCATTACAGCTAAACGGTAAGTATATAAGTGAAAGAAAAAACAGACCTGACTTTGCGTCATTAGCGATGGCAATCCCGTCAGAGTGTTATAATGTTCAAACGGAGATTCACCGTGCTCCACTTCAAGATTAGAGACAGCTGAAATGCTATTCTAATTCAAAGTTGGCTGTTCTTTTTCTTGAGGAGCTCACTTACCATACAAGAGAGACAATCGTAAAAATTAAAGCGTAGCCCAAAGTATTACAGTTATTTAGTTCCATATTTACTACTCCGTAGCTACATTTAAAATTTCGAAAAACGACTAATTTTAGAAGAGTTGCGAAACTTAGAAGGGGAACGTCACTGAAACAAAGCATCAAAATTAGTCCCAATAACGAAAAAAAAGCTTACATTTAGACATAGCACGATTACCGGCTCCATACATTTCGCTGGCAACCTTTATTTTGTGGATCCACCTGAAATGTATACAGTTCCCATGGTGCATATCATTAGCACAATTAGACTTACATTCGCATATCATTTTGGTTATAGCATGAAAAATGATGGTCAACTGGTGGTCTTGACAGCCGAAAAACACTGAAAGGAGACAGTAAAGGCTACGTAGAGAGGAGGTGGTATGCACTAGTTCGTTAACGCACAATTTCTTTGATGTTTTCAGCTCGGTCTCATCGGAAACGGTGCACTTGGATATGTTGATGATCATATCGGCGTGACGAGTCTAAACATCGAGATGATCAAATTAATATTCGTTGAGCACATATAGTAATAAGCGCACCTACGAGTGCATAAATAAAAAAAGTAAATAAATAAATATCATAAGACATACAAACTGCGTTGGATATATACAAAGAAAAGGCCCTCGCAAGCACATCCAACACTTTGGCCACTTGTTGGTCACCTCCTTAGCGAATAGTTCTTTGGCAGTCTTTCTGAAACTCAAGCATGTACTCAAGCTATGTTCAATGAAAACAAGGACTCTCACATGCTTCCATTGAAGGATCATCTCTGTGATATTCACAAACCTTCTTCTGACCCATCCTTCGAAAGTTTTCTCCGCAGTCTTCATATCAGGGGTGCTTGGCGTTGGAGGAGTGTCCTCAGCATTCCACTCGCGTGTAGGTGTGAGGCGAAGCGGTGTCGGACTACACACCGAAGGTATCGAACAAAGTGACGCTGGACTGGGCAAGACCCACTGATCATCACTGCCAGATACAGTTGTGAACCTAAATAGACCAACTGACTTCTAGCACCGCTATCAAACAGCAATATGTGTGGACGCATAGAGAAAAAAGTCAAAGACGATACCTTGGAGAGTCCAGCGTCAAGCAGGAAAGATTGGAATCACCGGCAGGTGCGCGGAATCTTTGCAGAGATGCTTCTTCATAGGGTGCACTCCAGTCAGGGTCAGAGCAACTGGGTTCCAATATATTGAGTTGGTTTAACTCTGGAGGTTCAACAACACAGACTTCGGCAAACTCTGCGGGGCCTGAATTTTTTGAGTGTTTTTCAATTATAGCGCACATCTAACCAAAAATGTAAAGAAGCTAGGCGTCCCTGTCAAAAGATATGTTCATATATTTTCTGCTATTTCATTAACTGTTACCTGTTTATACATATAACTTAACTACTCACATCCAACATTGAACGGCAACTGTTCCGCGATAATGTCATCTTCGACTTCCTGCACAAGCTTATTATCTATGAAAGACCTCACATAACCATCGGGCTGATGCCGCATAGTTCGAGCGCGACGAACTATTCGAGGAATGGCAATAGGACCTTCATGATTGTCCGGGGAAGGATGACTGAAATACAATATCCGACCGCCTGATAGATTGAAAGCTTTCACACACGAAACCTCATGGCACGTTTTGAAATGGCGTTAATCAAACCTCAGTACTTCGTTAAGCAATTAAGATTGATGCTAACAATAATGGCGACATACCCAATCAAGTCTAAGAGGTCCCAGCTCACATAAGAACGCTCATCTTCCTCGAGGAAGAACTCTCTTCGCGGACTTCCGGCGCAAAATGACGCTCGCCTTGAGGTTCGGAGTTTCTTTCTGAAGAAATAGCTACATGTATCTGCAGGATTGTTTTCACACCCCAATCGTCCATTTAGTGAACATACCCTTTCGACTCCATCAAGTTGAGCAAATCGCCAATAAACGTCGATGACCGGCGACGATTGAGCGGATAAGTAATGTCCTGAACATTTTGAATGAGAAATAAGCAATTACTATCTATTAGAACAAAATTTCCCGATAGATATTGCAAAACATAAATCTGACCTTGAAAAGTTGTTTCTCCTTCCCTGCGGTCTCCGTAGCCTGACTTCCGGGAATTATTTTTGCCAGTGGGCGATTAGCCTTCAAAGTTTTCTTCAGAGGGAACGGAACTGAATGTCGTGGTCTCTTGTTAACAACCAGGTGCAATTCGGTATCCGACGAAGAACCGAGGCGCTGAGCAACGCGCGTCAGGTCCCAACCAATGACCTAAAATGGCAAAACATCGTTGAAAATATTGACATTTGAGTTCAATTTGACATTCTGCTTAACCCAGGCAGCTACTCCAAGAACTTTTCTCTCGTCTTTCACAGCCTTAACTCACAGTTTTGCCATTGATAAGCATGATTTCATCCCCAGCATCGATTCTGCCGCATAAATCAGCAGGAGATCCTACTTTCACTTCACTAATCACGTGTACTCCACGATAAGACGATTGCAAATTAATACCCTGAAAGCGATACATCTAAAGAACATGATCAGTTTTCAGCGGTATTGGGTACGAACCTACCCAATTTGTGCTGACGTCATGCCTTCGAAGTAAGGCTCTCTCTGTGTATGCAGTGTATAACACTAGTGGATCATCGGTGTCCCGTACTATNCTTTCGCATTGTTCCTTGAGATCATTAGTCTTCTGAAAGAAAATTATGCAGATGAAGAAAGTGCAAATCCAAAACTAGCAAACAACAAAAATGTCACGCTTTCCACTTATTCAATGTAATGCGCTTGCAACATACCTGAATGATCTCCGAAGCTATTCCGAACAAGGATTTGGGTTGTACATTAACGCTACGTACTAACTCCCAGATAGCCGTAGAGATGCGGTTACGAATACTAATGTAGTTCTTGATGTCATCAAACGGACTTCTAAACAAGAACTGCTTCGTGAGCCGAGCTAAGTTTGAAGGATGGAGTTATAAAGGAAACTGAACATAAATGAGCACTTCATGATAGACTTAAGAAAAACTACCTGTCCAACCAAAACACCAGCTTCTTCACGTTTTCTACCAATACAGACATCATGAGAGAAATGCTATTCAAAACAGATACGATATGAGTCCTTGTCAGGGGCTAAAAAATGCAATTACTCTTAACCTCAGACGTGGTGAGTACAGAAAGTGATTTACAATGGACATACCTTCTCATCACGACAACGCTGAGCTTTCTCTAGCTCGTGAATGACCGCTTTACATGCAACGACAACCTTCATCGAATGACTCTGCAGATTTTCGGAGGGAGCTTCGGTACACTGAATAAGAAAACAACACTAAATCGAATACGACATTAAAGACTCCACATAAAAAAAACAAGTCAACGTGCTAAACGTGAAACTTTGAATAGAGGTCAAATTTTTGATAATATTTTTTTGCACATAATCCTTCATGATTCTGACTATCTGCGGCCTTCCTCATCTTTGATGACATCCAGAATGATATATTAAAACGATCCGTCCTGACTTTTACGACCAGCGGGCTGCACCGGGGTGCCGCTGGCTGCATAAGGGCAGGCTGCACCTACTATGAATGCGCCCGGTCACGCCGTTTAGCTCTCGCAAGTGGCGCGTCAGTGCGCGATTCTTAGACGACGTCGTAGTTGTCCGTTGGAAGAGTACAGTCTGCTTTGTGAGAAGATAACCGGACTCATGCAACTCATTCGCTCCACTGACACCTAGTGGTACTGTGATGTCACTCGAGATCGCAGTGGGCTGCGGCGCGCGCGAGGTTGACGCGATGACCTGTTTCGGTGGACGCGCGGAACGGACGTTTCCCAGTCCAGTGGGCTGCGTCCCGACCACTCGTTCCGATCAGGACCTAGAGCTGTACTGCTGTAACGATCACATCGAATATCTGTTAACGTCTAACAACAATCCAGGCTATTGCAGCACAGACAGGCCGCACTCCAATGTGAGAAAACAATTCGAATTTCAAAATTTTGCACGATGGGTGCAGAATCGTTCCGAAATCCTTGAGTGGTGCATCGCGGACGATTTTGGACCAAGTTCTACGACGAAGATTCACCCGTCCTCCAGTTGTACACTTCCTCATGAACCCTTTTATGTCTCACCAAATTAGAATAAAACTATAACAGTACTTGAGAAAGGCAGATGTGCTCATGGCATTTGCTTAGCATGACCAGAAACATTGGTTATTCATTTAGGATTTGTTTATAAGAAAAAAAAGAAAATGATCGTTCTCAAAACATCACTTACAAAATAGAGAAGCAGTTGCACAGCTTGAAGAATAGTTTTACGTGGACCAAGAGCCGTGATCCCAATATTGGCCAACATTTCGTCATCGATGAGAGGAAGATATTTCCCACTTCTGATGTTGTCGCGAATCGTTCCCAGATAGGGATTCATAGCATCACCGAGACCTAAATAAACACGGAAACGCTTATTCATTCCCACAACAGAAATCCTATTACATAAATAAGTTGGTTCGATTAAGGTTGAACTAATGCAAAAATATTCCGTTTTTGGGAATTTGCCAAGCTTTCAATAGCTGACCACTCTTACTGAAAATAGTTCAAGCTTCCTTAACGAGACTTTCATTTGAATGCGAAAAGGAGCACCATACTGACCCGATTACCGCAAAACTTCCCGCTCTTGTAGTTGATTTTCTTCGAAAATTCATACCTACATATTCATGGTGATTCTAGTGATCACAAAATAGTAGGCCTGCCAAGACAAACGCCAAAGAGAAAAGAAGTAGATCTAGTGGTATCCTTTATAACATGTTCGAAGTTAGGTTTGATACTTAGCGTGGGTGGAAATGTAATTGGAAGAGGGGTCTACCGCTCTTATCCAATATTGAACGCTAGAGCACAGAGACAGGGGAAAGCTGACCTCACTGATGCCTAGCGAAGGTTCTTAGCAAAGGCGAGTAGTTTCTACATAAGCTTTACATGGAAGGAGTAGTGGGGTGGTTGGATGGGGTAAGAAATGAACATTTAACTGACCCACCCACCCGGGACTTCCTCCCTCCTGAGCTATAATTTCCCGGCTTAATAACGGTCCACAGTACCATCGGGTTTGGGAAGTCGTCTCCCCTCCCCTGGCGCTTTATGTTGGAAAAGGCGGTCCCCTCTCAAGTACTCCAAGTACATTTGCGAAGAACGAGGCTAAATGTACTCTGCTCATCAGGTCAACAATGACTGTTCTTCGGAGAGCAAACTGAGTCTGTGTTAAGGATGGTTTGTGTTGTCCTCACCTTCTATCCAACGAGCTACTTGCTTTCCAGACCACGATTCGACATATTGTTGGAAAGATATTATCGGGATATTGGAGGGAATATTTTGCGGAAGAGACGAAAACATATCCCTCTCCTCTCGATGACTGGAGACTACTAGTTGCTTCATTGGGAATATGATTGTGCTGCTAGCATTAAAAGTTTCGGGAGGGCATGGGTTCCTGAAATCCAAGTATAAAAGGAAGAATAACGAACAGGAACAGTTCAAAGATGTTATCTCCACACAAAATCTATCGATTCCATAGCATGAGAAGAATAAAAGCTTGGAAAGAGTTCGAACAACTTCTTGTCAACAAACAGACTCCCTGAAGAAATAAAGTGAATCAACAAGGTTCAGGGAAACAGAATGGCAGATTAGAACACTATAACGGAGGACCAAGATAGTTCACGTCCTTTCAAGAACGAGGAGAAGGTGATCTTGCAGTTTCACGAATACCTCCAAGGAAAGCAGCTGCTAGCTGCTGAGCCAGCTGTTAAAGGGTCGCCTATGGTGGCANTCAAGGTATTGATATTCGGGTTATTATCAAGATTTTCAGCGTTTGACGGATCGCATGGAAGAAGACAACGCTCATGATATTTTCAAGTGGTTCACCTCACTTTCAGACTCCAAAAAGATCATCATCCCCGTAACTTTTCGAGAAGAAACATACAATGCAGAGGTATCGATTTTGTATCTAATCACATTGAAAAGCCACTTTTAAGTTAATACCAAGAAGTTAAAACGGCACTGACGTTATATTTCATACACATTCAAGAGAGAACACGCATCGGACTTGAGAGTTTACTTGAGGCGTACTTTTCAAAATACCGGAGTGAATGGGTTCAAAAATTTCAGGGTAATTTCTGCCTCAAGACTTCTATTCTCCACCCATACATTTTGGTCGCTTTCGGTGCAACGATATCATGTCGTAATTGCTTGAACTTTTAAGCGGATGGGGCTTCACCAAATCCTGGTTTACCACAACACTTTGCTTCTTGTTCCCGAAATCTCATTAAACGGTCGAGAGATGTAGGTTTCCTTAAGATGCCTTTACATTGAAGGAGGGGTTTTGAGGTGCTTCCCATAGGCGTAGGCGGAGAGTTCGTGGAAGAGGTGGGTTTAGAATTCTAATTAGTTAGATAGTGCGTTACAGCACTAGATGAATATCGATCTCTGAGGAATCGAAGAGCGGCAGAACCGAGGGGTTCCACGGTTCGTTAAACCGTTTGGTTCTTCAGTTTTGTTGGACTTGTAATCAGCATTCTCAAACGTTATCGTACTTTTGAAAGGCAGTGTTCACAAGACTGACAAAAGAGTGTATCAGACGAACTGCAGTTGTCTTATAGATACACTCACATTCACAGTTGAAGCAACCTTTTGGAAAGGAAAGCCTTCCGATCCTTAGTCTCCTGTAATAATGCATTGAATTTTTATAGCTTATTCTCTATGGAAACATAATGAGTTGTGCCTCTACGGATGATGCTAAAGTGCCTCTCATATTTGTGATCGAAGGAGCTTCTGTTCAAAGACTGGATTCCGAGGTTTTTTTTCCTACATTTTTCTTTCATTCTTATGAACTTTTCAATTCATTCAATCAGTATGAGTGAGTGATTAGGAAGAGGTCGATGACTAGAACTGCATTTGAGTGGTGAGCTCCTCAGTGCCAGCTCCCTATTTTCATAGGCACGCTTTCATCGCAATACTTCTCTCAAAGATGCCATGATGAAAAGTTCAGGAGATGAGGAAACCATCTCCAAAATCTTCTCTAAATGTCTGGAATTCGGAACCTAAACATCAACAAAATTATCACAAGGCACTAGGTCAAGCCACACACGATGCGCGCGGCTTCGAAATGGTGACATTTGAATCGTGGAAGGGTTTTGCAGGTTGAGTTCTTGTTCCTAGCGCGGATTGAAATCAACATTGGCTGCTTTCCTCGTCGCCGGCCAGTCCGCGAGCGCGCGCGTGCCGGCCGGCGACGGCGCTAGACACTTGTTGAAACGCTAGACGCCGTTGGAACACATGCCGGTGTTGTCAACGAGTGCGCGCGTTCGCGCGGCCTGCCGACGGACTCTGAAAGCGGCATTGAGTGCTTCGTTGATGCTGTGGCACAGTTGTTTCTGGTCGAACAGCTTGGATTTTAAAGTCCCAAGAACGCGTGGTATAGCTACCGGCTTTGTTAGGCTAATGTTTCGGCCAATCGCCCTTGTCAGAGCCTGGAACCAGAAACTGCCCGGCCGTGACTAACGAGCTTGCCCCGTTCCTCGACCAAAGTGTTTTCAATAGCCACCAGCATCAAAGCCAGTGTCAGAACACTCGGAGCCGGGGGAGTCAAATCGGGTTGGGGACAACGGTCTTTTTTTTTGCTAGACATCTATAGGCCACCCGGAACTAAGCTAAGGTCTGAACGTTGTTTGTTCAGGATGAATCTCTTTTTTTTGGCTTCCAGGCTTTGACGAATTCGACTGGTCGAAACGTTAGCCCAACAAAGATTGTAACATCTTGGCCGTGTCTTCAGAGAGAACACCTAAGTCATCAAGATACCATGCCAAGATTAAGTGAGAGTCGAATATGCTTACTTCTCTCGGCACAGTCTTTTCCGCATCTCGTTAAATGATGCTGCGTGTATGTTCATACTTCTTTCGTAGAATCCATTTCTCTGAGGAGCACTTCAAAAGCAGGGAGGATGGCAGTGTCGAAAAAGTGAGCGCGGAGCATGATGGTATTCGTCTTCTCCACTACTTCCTCGGTATCTTAAATGTTGCCCATGAATATTCTCAAATGTTAGCCACGTTCTTTAAATGTTCTGGTTTAATCCTATCGAGACCTGGCGCCTTTCAATTTTTAATCGACGAAGAATGGAAAGATTACAAAATGGTTGGTAGGGCGGTAGACGTTGTTCTCGGAAAGATCCAACTAGAACTCGTTGACGGCTTTTTTCATCGCCTTTCGAGGTGCAGTAACTATTCCGTCGACGGTACAGTAACTGTTGCGCACAATGGAAGGACGTCATCTTTAATTGGCGAAGCTCCGACGGGCATTGTGAATGCTCATTACAGTCTTGACCACCTCGAGCAGAAGTGCTGCTCCTCTCTCTTCCAGGTCCTCCTTTGTCGTTTCTCTGCATAGCTTCGCCAAATCGGGCGTTTGTTGATGATTGCGCGATTCCATGTTTTCGAATCAGCTCATGATTCTTGGAAGGGAGACGTTGCTTAGCTACTTTTACACTCTTACTTTTCCTAGCACTGTCATGAGGATGTTCGACGAGCCGGTTGTACACTTCATCGCTGATGTGTTTTATTTCATTATGGAAATGTCCAACAGGTGACTCCCCTGTCCCTCGAAACTGAAAGGGCTTCTGGAACTGCGAGTTACCATGGATGGTGTGGATCGACATGATAAATTCGGACAGCCTTTCACCCTTCTCATTCCATTCTATTTCGTGAATCCCGATGTAGAGCTTGTCCGCCGTTCTTCTGTTGCCAGTCTTGGCGTTGAAATCACCGACGATGTTCTCGAACAAAGTATGGTCTTCAGTGTACAGCCTCTCCAGATCCATGTAAGACGCTTCCAACATCTCTTCTTCGTAGCTTGATGTTGGTGCGCAGGCAGCGAAGATTGTTATTGTTGGGGTTGAGCCGAATCTTCTCAATCGCGAAGGTCCGATTCGGGTTGTCAGGCTTTCATACGAGTCGATGTTCATGGCCAGGTGCGTGTTGACGAGGGCACCTACACCGCCGGTGCTTGTTTTGTCGCATTTTCCAATGAACAGTTCTTCATCAGTTGTTCATGGGCAACGTGCACCGGGTGATGTCTTTTCGTCTCGGCCCGTCAGATGATGATGTTCCAAGCCTGCATCATCCCATCTTTCGTGCACTTTCTATGCAAAAGTTCGTGCATTGAGAAGACAGATGATCATTTCAATACTCCTTCTTTTGACTTGTCTGTTTTGCCCTGAAACTTGAAAGCTTCTCCCTACCGGCCCTACCCAACTGTCGTATTATCAGCTCCTTTAACACCAGGGGAATGAAGCCATTTATACTACTCTTTTTGACATGGCTACACACGAGTAGCTTGCCATGCTGTGACGTGGGGTTTGGTCTGACCTTGGGTAGCTAGCCAAGATATCCTAGAGTGCACTAGAGCCCGATTCGTCGTGCAGGATACCAATCGCGCCGACGTATTTTCATCACACGCGCGCATGGCTACATCTGGAAGGGGAGAGAAGTATAAATGGAATCGGCACAGCAGAAACAGAGAGTCCATCACCTGAATCCGCCTGCGTTTCTGAGCAAGTAGGTACTGGTGACTAATGGTCCGCGCCCTATCCGTTCCCTGGAGTGGGCCCACGTAGCCTCGAAACGTACCGGCTGGAGATCATTCGGTGAGAAGGAACCTTCTGTAATAGGGGTCCGTGGGCTAGTCAATATTATGTGGGAATTTAGTGTGAGCCTTATGGTCGTGCAAGAATTCACCACTGATCGTACAATGTTGAACGAAGGCGGGCTTTGTTCGTTTCACATTCGCGAAGCTTTTAAAACTGTATTCGAAGACGGAAGTTGAAAAAAACCCGTTGAGCTACTTCTGGGCTGGAATACCCAAGTTTTCCCATCTCCAAACTAAGATTTTCTTTGATCTGCAACCTTTCTGATAAAAAGTAACAAATCTTTTCCTAATTATTGTGATGACTGCGGAATCATCTTCAGNCTTCAGGATTCTTCGTTTGCATGTGGTGTATCGTTTCCTGATTCGGACGATGTTCTCGTTTTGCGATTTGGTTCAGAGAAAACAAGGGAGTCCTGGATGATAAGGGTTGGTTCCTTTCCGTTCTTGTTGGACTACAGACTAATATCGGCTTTCTCAGATAGCGACATGTTCTCATCAAATGGTTCGGGCTCAACTCGACGAAATCGCATACAAGTTTTATACCATGGGAACGAAGCAGGACTCCAACACTGACTGCTCTTACAGCAAGACCCGCCAATTTTATCTTACGAATCCATACAGAGTGACACACACTTTCGCCATATCTCAGGTAGGTTATACAATTTGCAAACACTGACAACGAACTGTTGCTTTTCTCTGCCTTTTCCTAACAAGCACTCTTGAGTGATATTCTCAGCAAAATAATCTTCCTTCGCGTCGTGTTGCCTTCGAAGAAATCATGTCTGAATCGAAATTATCTCTGATCCTGCCTCTGGAACTTGTAAAGCTTTACAAAAAATGGATAACCGAGTGAGTGTATTTTGAAAGAGCAGCTGAATTGCAAAAGATCTGTAATTGTATTCTTATACAAACTTTTTCTTTTAGATTTTCCTGCTTGCTAGAAACTCGTCAACACCACTGGCCAGCTTTTGCTATTCCGTACTTATACGATGTGCTAAGAGAAATCAGAGCGAATACTGAAACACTGGAACAATGTTATGAGTTTTTGGAAAACTATTCCGTCAGTAAGGGTTTAGCTGTCTTTTTCTTTGTAAAACCGTTCTTAACTAAGCGTGGAAATTCAGGGCCCCTCCTTCCGCAAATCAACTGAAAAACACCGCGTTGCTTTTGCACCAGTTCCAACTAATCTTCATGTCCATCAGTCCACCATCGATAATAGAGTTACTCGAGAAGTTCTGAGTTGTGGTACTACCTCCGCTCTGCCTCTCCGCTTCCAGGTAAATAGGATAATGACATGATCCAAATTCTTCTGTAGATCGTGAAGAACAATGAGCCCACTTATTGTCCTGTTTTGAAAATTTAGTACGGAGGGCTTTCTCGAATATCAGCATCATTGGAAGTTGATCGAATGTTTCACGACCTCCCTTTTTGGTCGAGACGATATTTTCTGTTTGACATCAAGAAGTGCATCGCCCAACTTAACTACAGGTTCGTGTGGCACATTTCTCCCTATTCGATCCCCTCTTGGCAGATATTACTAATTCAATTTTCAGATTGGATACTGAATGGGGTGATGGAGACTTCGAAAAGCGTGCAAAACTTAGTGCCGACCTTTCTTCTGCCATAAGAAGTGTAAGTGAAGATCTTAACATCCAACACCGAGATTGAATTGGATATGTGCAGGTCTTCGAGCGTTTAAAGCAAATCTCCGAAGAAATAGCGGAATTGGACAAATACGCTGAAATCCTTGTCAATGAAGAGAATCGAAGAGCTTCCTCAGGACAAAATGTATGTTTCTTCTCAGAATAAGTACTTTTTACCAGTATGCATGTTATAGGTCACTCGACAGATACCGGATACTCTTCAAAATCAGATGGATACGGTCGATGCAATGGTAATGAGTTTGACAACAAAAGTAGCTGTTATGGATAAAATTAAGGAAGAAGAGGTGAGTTTGTGGCAGACATTTTATTAATTCGCTTGGTCAACTTCTCCCAGAACTTTAATCATAGGTTCAGAGTAAAAGTGAAATCTACGAAAAGACTGTCCGGGATGCTATTTGTTTGTGCTTCGATATGTTGCTAGCGATGGCAGACTCGGTTTTGGAATCACAACTGTTTGGTCTAGGTTAGCTGACGAACGTTGCTTTCCGGCCATCCGATCTCGATAACTTTACCCTCGGTTGAATGAATGTCGCAATTCTTTTGCCTTATAGTGGTGGAAACGCACAAAAACTCAAATTCGCACCTCTATTTTCACGTGCAGTTGCGGTCTGACTTCATCCTCTCACAGTCTATCACCATCGCGGCTACTGCAGTTCTCAATACCGTCTACCGAGGCTGGCCTGTTGCTGATGGTAAGTAGTGAGAAATTTGCTTTCTATATCGGATTACATTGCTATTCCTGATGAAGGTAAATCCAAAAGTGCATGAGAATCTGCCTAAACGTTTTTGGATCCCACCATATTAAGGACAGTGTTAGCTGTGCGGTGTATAAGTGTGTAAACACATATGCTTTCTTTCTTTTAGGATGCGCCAAAGACCTCCTTCTTACTGTATTTTCCTTCCTCTCTGCTTATGGAGACGAAAGAGGAATGGCTGAGGACGCATGGGAGGCTTGGCGACAACTTGAAGCGCGAGTAGTTTTCACCTTGATACGGGCCCCTTCCGAAGTATCTCGTACCTGCATACCTATCGTCTCCGGTCAGCGAAGTCGATTAAACGTGCGTTCGCTTTGCAATTTTCACATGTCCATTGAAGTTCTAGAGATTACCAGCTGAAAACGGTTTGAAACAACAGAAACAACCGTTGTGTTAGTCAGGTGCCTGAACTGCACATATGCTTAGTCTATACGAGGAAAGCTCGAAAAATTGTGAAAAAATGCATTTACTTAAACGATAGAAAACTGTAACATACCTCACTGTTTTTAACCTGGTCCCCTGGTCAGTGCTGTTTTCCCGATGGTTCACAATTTTTCATCGTATCGACGCACAAAGGTTTCCTTTGTAATTTGCGCCGAGGTAAGGAAAGCACAACGGGGAATAAGTGACGTTCTTTCCCCGTCGTGCTTTTTCTGAAACTCCAAACAAATGAAGTTAGGTTAGCTTTGTTTGTCTGATGTTCGAGCACTCAGCGTCACTACTTTTTTGCCGTGTGTTCCTCCTTTTTGTGGGCACAATGTAACCGAGCTTTAACCTTTCGCAGAACTAGTTATATGCTGTCAGTTTACGAAACCCCAACGAGTAGAGCAGAATTAAGAGCAGCAGAAAGATGTTTTATCAATGTATAGTGAGTATGCTCAGTTAACGCTAGATGCTACTTGGGTTAACGAGCCGTGAAAAGTGAAGTGCCAAAGGCCCCATAACATTCTCAATCTTCCTTGAAAGTGCCTAAAGTTCCACTACTAGCATCTAGCGTTACCTGTGTTCCACTTGAATGGAGTGATGGGCGAAAGGGTTGAAAGGTCAGTTTTCTAGTGTGGTCTTGATGGATCCAACCAAAGCTGGTGAACCGTCCGGAAGAACCTACACCCCAAGCAGCACTTGATCTTCCGAAAATAGAAACTTTGTCGATTTTCGTATTGGAGCTCGGTCAACTCTCGAAACAGTAGCAACTATGGCGTGTCTTCAGATGACTAAGACAGTTAGAAAAAACTGCTTTTCTTGCAAGCAAGCTCAACGAAATCGTTGTATCAGTGATCCGCTGCTGGATGCCTGGCTTAATCCACCGGTTCTTACACGATTAACCAACAGCTGCAATTTGTAAAAAAAGTTCGCTGAAGGACAAACAGTCAAGAAGAGTCCCATAAACCCTTCTTGACTGTTTGTCCTTCAGCGAATTTTTTGACATAATGCAGCTGTCGATTAATCGTGTAAGAAGTTCAAACAACGTGGTGCTTGCTGCTTAAAGCGCCCCGTTTGATATCGAATTCGCCTATATCAGGTAAATGCGGTGACTACAAATCAAAAACAGGCCAACGACCTGCCCCTGCACATTTTGTACCATTGGTGTATTTGAAAGTAGCGGAAGTAGTTGTCTCAGAAGAAGAAAAAGGGTTCGTTCAGATCTATAGGGACATCAGAACAGTTCTTCGAACGAAAAACTGCGTTAATCTTTTTTTCTATGATATTCGAAGTTACTGTAATACCATTTTTTAAAGAACATTCACATTCTTGCAGTTATCCAGTTTGAGTGGTTTGCAAGCAATTCTTTCACCTGTAGGCGCTAGCCTGATTGTGATGTGTACTGTTCAGGTGTCCTTACCACTGCCTCACGAAATTTATGATGCTCTTCCAGCTGAAATGCTCGCTCAAAAGTCAATAGTAGTTCGAACTGCATTCTTCAACATCGGAGTATGTAAGGATAACCTATAATAGCCATCGTGAAAAGAAATTGTTCTGGCATAGGTGAACTACGAGGCGACTCTTGGACAGTCCTTCGGTGGTGTGATACTGGAAACCGGAATCAATCATGAAGGAGCCGAAAAAGTTTTAACCTACTCAAATCGCTATACAGTGGATCCAAATGCGCGCGAGGCTGCGATGGAACTTGTTAATGTGGTTTGTATCAGATGACTTTTCTCTTCAGCTCTATTACCTGCTAATTTTCATTTTCAAGTCGTTTACCAGCTTTATTAGAGAATAGATTCGTTATGTTTAAAGTTGGTTATGTAGGTGGACAGTTTCAAAAAAAGCAAGGAGAGTCAAGTTTTTCCTCTAGAACCCCTCAAACATAAGCGGAAAAGACCCATGTTGTGGTTGAAAACACGTCATTAAATTTGTCAGTCTCCCTCCGGGTGTCTTAGGAGTGCAATAGCTTAAATAAAATGTGTTACTGTCGACGATTTCAGTAATAAAATTCCCAGCTGCGAGCGAGCAGTCGGAGATTGACAGAGGGAGTCGAATGTTTGAGAATACTCTCAAACTGGAGTGACTGCATGATTCAGAGTTGAGACCTCGCAGCGTTCATCCTTCAAAGTGGATCGCGCCTCTGATCTGATCACTGTTTACGTACCTAATTCTCACTACTGGTACCAACTGACCAACCCCGGATGGAGGCTTGATTTGCTCAGGCGGATATCGCTCGCTGGTTCGAACCCGTGGCTATGTGTACGGTAGTGCGCCACTTGCCACTACATCACTCCGACGTAATGAACGTAGGTGAAGGTTAATCGATCCGAGACGGATGAAAGCCTTGGTTAAGTTGCTGGTCTGGACGGGACCCGATTTTAATCAGATCTCAAATTACGTGTGATGATGCATTTGGCACTAATCCATCTCCTGGTTAATCATTCTACGCCCGAATATATAAGATAAATAAATGAAATCATCTGATATGTTTAGGTGGCCAGTGAACCCTCTCGGAAGAACCTCGCAATCTTTGAGTGGGCAATGTTGGCCTGCGAACTGCTTGAAGGACACGCTGTAATTTGCTGCAAAAGCGGAAAAGATCGAACTGGCATGGCAGTCACAATTGAACAAGGAAGAGTGTTTCGAGAAACATGCGGGCTCAATGCGGCACAGGTTTGTGGAGCTTTGGCTCATACAAACTATTGTTTCTACTCATTTCCCCAATCTAGTACAGTTGAAGAAATTTGGCTTTCGTGCACGTTTGAGCCCCTTTTTAAAATTTATCAGCATTGAAAGATTTGATTTAGCTCCAAGAAGTGATAGCATCTCTACGAAGGGATGGCGCTCGAAGAGAGAACTGCCGTAAAAACGTTGGCAAAGGAGTTTATTCGTTCAGCCCATTTCAAATGCACTTCCTTCCAAAGGTCAGTCTTTTACCCTCTCGTCAGTGATCTGTATCCTACTGTTGACGTTTCCAGCCTTTCCGTCCTCCGAGTGGCACTTATGCTCAAGGAATTGCCAGCTGAAATATATTCGTATTCATTTTTCAGTTTGTTCACGTTTGCCTATGATAGTTGCACAGCATCATAATCATATTTACATGTGGGGTTGTTTTCGTTCTGTTCTTTCATGTATAATTTCCACCAGCGTCTATGGCCTCGCATTTTTTATATCAGAGCTCGAAAGCGTGTATTTAGTTCTATTTTCTGGTTTGTGATAAATCGGTCCATATCATGATTTGCCTTTGTTAGAAACTTCCGCTCGACATCATCGAACTTGGAGGATATCCTTCCGCTCCAAATGTTCACTTTTGTCATCTGTGGCATAAAATCCAAGTACATACTTATATATGAACAAACTGCATTATGAAAATCTCAATCTGTGCAACGGTTGGAGATGGTAAAAAGTCTTTTCCCAGCAACAGTGCTTGCAAAGGAAGAGGCATACTAGATACTCGCTCAGTAGAATAGGTTTATCAATATAGCCTGGCTGCAATACCTTAATCAGCGCATGACTGGAAACCATCAGTTTCAGCTGTTAGCTTGTGGTTCTATAAACTTTCAACTTCGCTGGCCCAATTTGAGCCCATTATTCATTTCCAAATCGGCACAAAAGTCGATAATTTTAATCGATAGTGGTCCAAACAACAAAATTTGGCTCGCCCCAGGCCATTTTGGCGTCTTCCCTAAGCTTCTAAGCTATTTATGTAGCTCTCCATTGCGCTCACAGATCTGTTGTGTACCTTTGACCATATTTTGTCTCCTTTCCTCGATTCGTTTGATGAGTTTTCAGACCCGGAAACCATTTATTCAACTGTCTTCCTCTCTCCCAGTGGGGACTCTTTCTGAGCTCAGCTCAGGTCATGTGTTTATTCTTCATTTCGTCTCGTTGTATCCTCACCACCATATTATTGAGCCTTTCAGAGTACCTCTTCAGAACTCCAAATTTTTCTTGACGGAAAACTTTTGGCAAAGATGTTTCACATAGAACTATAGTGCTTTGCTACTCGGCACTTTCGGTAGTTTATCTGGATGAATTCCTTTTTCAGCTTGGGGTGATCATTACATTTCATTCACATGGAGAAGTTGGACGTGCAACATGTACGCACCGGAATCTCATAGACCATTACCGGGCATTGGGATTGCATATAATATGAAGTGAAAGTAATGATTACCATAAAGCCAACGAAATAAACTCATTCAGAGGAATTAATGTAAGTGTCGAGTAGGAAAGCTTCGTGACTGTGTATAAAACATGTCTAAAATTTCGTCCAGAAAAATTTGTAGAACTGAACCTGAAGAAGCACTCTGAGAGGTCCAACAAATGTCAAGTCGACTAGCGTGGTTGAGCATTTCTTTTCGAGTTCTTTATGCTGCTGACTCAAGAGTACGGAGGTGATTATGAATTGATTTCAAAATAGTATTTATTCAGGACATTGCTTGTCTTTCCGCGTCTTTCTTCTTCGGAACTGCAGGTCAAAAAGCGTTGTTCTTAACAGCGAGTATTTCTCATTTTAAAATTATTATCTGGTCATGATACTGTCCCACGAAAACCTCGAGGGTCCACAAAGCTTACCGATTCAGACAGCCGCGAAATTCTACATAACAGTCGGCTGTTGCTATGGCGATGGTGGCAGGGGATTTCATTGAAGTGCAGCAGTATTCTGGCCCTAGTTCCACGGTCCCTGAAATTGCTGTATGTCTGGGGAGAAAGTGAATGGCGATGAGTTATGGCAGGATAAGGAAATCAGATTCGACGTGGACCATCGGTTAGCTGTTTTTTTTTNTTTTTTTTTCGTGAAGAATTCCACATTGAAGCTGGTAACAGCGTTATTAAAAAGAGTTTTTTCAAATCATTACGCTCACAACGTTCTATTTGCATAGGAAAATCTCATTCCAAAGTGTAGGACAGAGTGTTGGCCTTAGTACGATTAGTTTGTGCTCTTGAATTCTTCCTTGAGATGGAGAACAGATCTTCGACTAGTTTTTGCTTTATATATTATATTTGCAATCTTTTCAACTACAGTTCCGTTTAGGATGTTGCGCCTCGTACCCGGCGAAATACAGATAGATCGAGTCGACAAGGTTGAAGACACAAAAGGAAATAATGGAGATCGAGGTAAATGTATATTTTACCGTTAATGGAATCCTTATGCACATGCACTTTTACCGTTAATTCAAAGGTGTTATGCGTATAACCAACTTGCGAATAATATGGTACGCAAGTTCTATGCCGAGAATAAATCTTTCCATTGGATACAGCAACATAACAGGGCTACAAAGTCGCGAAGTTGCATCGGTAATATCGGTTACAGAGTTCATTCGTTTGACTCCTTTTAGTATTCCTTGTGATTTAGAAAGTCCGTGGAACTGAAGTAGAAGCCCTGTATGTAATGGCTCGCGCTCCCAATTCATCGACAAAGTTTGAGTTCATCTTTACGGCAATGACTAGTGGAGTAAGTTGCGTAGTTGTTCCTTACCAATATAGGTGTGTGAACTGTGATGATTTGGGGCGCACGCTGTTTGTGTGGGATGGATTCTATTGATTCTGTTTATATTGATTTCCTGATCAACAGGGATCATTTTGTGACGTCATCGAATGGGAATCATGACTCCCCCAATTTTTGTTGCAAGATCGATCTTACTTGCTTAATTTCAATCACAGGGAGATCTACCCTTCGGAAAAAAAGAGGAGATAGGATGGGAAACTGCTAGTGGTCCTTTTCCATTATATCTCTGATGCGCAACCCCCTACAGTCAAGTCCAAGCGAAATTTTGATGTAAACTTCATGATGGCTGCGCACTAAAAGCACCCTCAGCACGAAGTACTTCAGTCTTGATGTGTGATTCCCCATGGAAATGTTCCTACATTCTTTTTGAACAAAATTGTAGAAGGCAGCTGTGGGTATGTGATGCAGGCGTTAGCAGGCGGCAAAATAGTGGGAGGAGTTCGTCGTCGTTGACGACAATAGTTAAACTGTGGCCATATTTCGTGATTGAAATCTTCTCAGATGCATTCGAAACTGTTCAACACCGTGAATTCTGTTCATCGTGCATATGAAACGACGAAGCTGTATCGAGAGTTAAAAATGAGAGGCGCGATCGTGGATGACAGTTTCAATTTGAAACTGTTGCCCCTTGAACAACTGGTCGAAAAAGTCAACGGAGTGTGGAATCTGAGCACTGATCAGGTTGGAGTCGTTGATGGTTTCGAAAGTCGAAAATAACGCTCTCCTTTTCAGGGCACACTGGGTTGTTTCGTTATAACGAATGTTCGCCTGGTGTGGTTCGCTAGCACTAATTCTCTCTATAATGTCTCAGTACCGTACCTTCAGTTGTATTCCTGTCGAATTAGGGAATCGAAGTTTGGACTGGCTCTCGTCATTGAAACTACCACGCAGGTTATTTTGCTTTTCTACGAAGTCATGGTATTCCTGTGAAGTGATGTGGNAGGGTGGTTGATCTGACCTATGCGTGGAGGGACGCACGAAAGACACACTGGGAGACATGGAAACGATTTGAACGAGCAGTGCTAGGGGTCAACCCGAGCAAGTGAAAAGACGAAAGAACCCCTTCCACAACAAAAAAGCCAACGCACAGGGCGGAGCCTAAAATGCGCGCTCCAAGACTGCCGAGTTGCTCTAATGCTCTAATTCGAATCCGCGAACGTTGAAATAATTGAAATGACAGCCGGTGGCGAGGTTCAGTTGCGTTAGATATTAGGAGTAAATGGTTGCTTACAGACTTCGACGATTGCGGGCACGCATGAGGTAGAATCGTCGAAGTCTGAAAAGAGCCAGTCTTGGGCAATTTTGGCTTATGTATCCAGCTGTTCACTTGATTGCAATGACTGAAAACTCGCCCAATACCCCTTCAAACGTTATGGTGATCACATCAATCATTACTTTCCGTACTTATAGGAGCCATTAGGTTTCACGAACGAATCCAGAGGAATTTTTCCGCTATCCTCGCTACCAGTGCACATTTCTCCACTCCAACTCCCTTTTTTCAACTTGAAAAGGATGTCCTTAAGTCCTTCAGTGAAGAATTGCCGTGAACTGTGCCCCTAAACTAGTAAGCCAGCGAAGTAGGGTTGCGGCTTTTGAATCCGCCGTGCTTAAGAAACATATTTTGCTTTCCTTCTGTTTTTCTTTGGTGTCCACAATTTGGAACTTGCCTAGATGAGTTTTAATGGAAGCTGAAAATGTGTGGAGTGTTTTCGACTTCATTTTGTGATGTTCTTCTTCGATTTTCGTTGGAGTTCTTACCATAATAATTCAAGGATGAAACTGCATGGGCTTCCGTGTTAGGTTTAACTGTGGACTACTGTCTCTTCGCTGTTTGACGTTACTTTCGTGACTTTGATTAAAAAANGAATTGGAACTTTCATTATACTACTTAAGAGTGGCGAGTATGTTTTGGGATTCCGGATTGATCCCGCGGAACGGCTTCAACAGGTGTGCAAAGCTATTCAAGCCCTTCACAAGGCATCGAACACTCGACCTATTTACGGAGTTACATTCCACAGAGACAGACCTGTGAGTTCGTTGTTGGTCAAGGTTTATTCTCAAGTTCATGAGTACGGCACCCTATTTTCGAGATATCTTGATACGAATTCGTGTTTATCGAACAACTTCCTACATAATTGTTGAGGGGATACTGTAAGGGAAGATTGAAAAAAGGACAAAGAACCGACTTGCGATATTTTTTTTCGACAGCTGCGCTATTATAGATCTTTGTTTTTAGGTGTGTAAATAAACTAATTTTAGCCATCTCCTCGAGAATCAGCTGTCGACCAGACGAATGAACAGGAGGAAGACGATGATGAATCGGAACAGAAGCAGTTAAGAACGGACGCTTTTGCAGTGAGTCGACTTTGTTTCATGGGCTTCCTTGTTTGTGAATGATTCAACACAGTAACAGTAAAGCAGTATCGACTTTCTGCGTTGGTCATAAATTGCTCCCATAAGCCACGCAGTCCTGATTAATTTGTTCTTTTCCAATTTGTTTCTACTCATTATTACCTTGAGCGGAGGTGGTGTAGTGGCAAGTGGCGCACCATATCGCAAGAACGTTCGCGGGGTCGAGTCCTCGATCGATATTCGCTTAGTCCAACCAAGCCTTCCATTCTTCCGGGGTCGGTTAATTGGTACCAGATTCGTCTGGGAGGATAATAGCACTGACTTGTACATCGGCTGGCCATCGCAAGTCATTGTATAGGACCCACACGCATTCGATCCGCCAGTACGATTATGAATTGAGGGTCGAATACGGGGGCGTATCCTCCAGATGGGATCGAGATCAACGCTAAAAGATTTAATCCTTCATCCTTTTCATTATTACCTTGCCCATTTTCCGGGTATCTGAGCTGCTCGGAAACTGAGTAAAAAAAGATTTTCCTTAGCGTTGCCTACTTCGCCTGCGTCCCTCTCTCTGTGGACGAGTACGCATTGGGTTCAATGTGCTCTATTGATGTTGCCATATGCACCATCCATCCAAACTTGACCCGGTCTCTGCAAATTCATGGTCAGATATCAAGGAGTTTCTGGACAGGCAGACAGACAGGCAGAGCACTTCATACATAGTAAGTATTGACGCAGCCGCTCCAGGTACTTCTTCAGTAAACGGCAGAGAGAGAATGAGAATGGTTTTTGTGTTTAATAAAGATTAGATAATGTGTCGTAAGGCTGTCACACAGTATTTTGACAAAAAGTCAAGCATGTTCGGCAGTGCGGTAGCATAGCTATCAACATCGAACAGTTTCCCAAAATTTTTCAGTTGCCCTGCATAGCATACTCTCCCTTTCATATCGCAAATCCCAACTCAATTAACTACGGAGAGAGCTGGACCCGATCCTTTTTAAGAATATCATCTATCCTGCTGAAAGTTCACCAGCCATTTGCTTCTTGCAAGAATAGATCTTGATGACTCTCGAAAAATTTATATTTATAGGCGTATTTTTCCGACGGTGGCACATCATCCGAAGAGCGTCGACCACCCGTGTACAGTGAGGAATTGGGGTTGGCTGTTGAACAGCTCAAACAAGGATTCACTATAACTGATTTGTGGAATATATATGTTGACTGAGCCTTGCGATCGCAAAGCACGACTAGTGGAAAGTAGTTTCCTCGAGGTCTATTATCTTATTCATTCCAATAAAGACGTTTGACTTCTCTTATGTGTGTTTCCTATTTTCAGATACGAAACCAATTGTTCGTTGTCTGGATAACCTATTTTGAATTGAACAAGTCCCTGACTGACTGCTTGTTTTTTAAGTCTTCTTCTAGATGTCAGAACTTCACCTACTCGAAGATCGCATCTCACCGAATCTGATTATTTTGTTGTCCTCGTACCCGAGAATCCACGACAAACTTTTCATAGCAGCACTCGATTGGGGAATAGCAAGGTGTAGGAAAACAAACTTCATCAGGAGGGGAAGGTTTACAAGGTGAGTTACCCTTTGTTCATAAATTTGCATCGCTTGATATGTGCTTCTTTACGTAGGTCATGAAGCCAGCTTGAGCAAGTGCAGATATTCGACTTTTAAGGTTTAATGCTGGCTGGCAGAGTAAACGTGTGATATACTGCAATAACCATGACGTTTGCCCTTGATTTTAATGTATATTTGTGGTGTTCAGTGTGCAGTTTAGTTCACCTGTTGCACTGAAATTATTGGAGTTATAAGTGGGTGCTTCGGAGTTCAACGCTTCGGAGTTCAACGAAATGCACCGTTTCACCGATCGGCTGAAAGATGGCGTTGCTGCCCACAGTTGACAACGCAGAACAGATTTCGCTCTGAGCGGTATTCATCACTGTCCAGTGTTGTCAACATGTGGCTAGCAATGTCGTCGGTCGGACATTGCTAGCCACACGTCGTTGCACTCGTCGTTGCCCAGCAATGCACGTCGTTGAACTCTGAAATCACTCAGTTTGCTGAGGACCTCGTACAGAACATCGGTAGAGATGTTCCAATTTTGAAGTATCAAATCACCTTAAGCTCGGCACGATTTGCGGATTGCCTTTGTAGGCCTTTCATTCGAACAAACACCAATAACTGATCCAAGTGGGATGGTGGTGTAATCCAGAGTCCACGGTAGGTGGCCACCGAGGACATAGTGAGTTAGCACTCCGTACCATGGCACACCTATGTACTTACCTGAGGGGGCTCTGAGAAACGCGCCAACCTTTTTCCGAGTCATTTTGCCAACTGAAAGTAAACTTAGGAAAAGTGCAACTCATTGTCAGCAGCTGACGCTGCGTGGTACTTGGTCTCACGCTTGACAAATGGTTGGCTGCAATTTGATAACAAATGAATAATGAATAGTGGCTACTTTTAGGCGCTGCATTAGAAAGTGGCCAGTGCTTGGATGAGAGCGACTCATCACATGCGTTCTAATCGTAGGGTATCTAGAGGATCTACAAGATATAATATTTCAGCGTCCCTGCAGTACCATCGGAGTACTTTGCTGATCCGGCACGTTTGAAAACAATCCAATTCCACTATGTAGAAGATTTACCTCTCGAGAAGGCTGCTGAGCTGTCTCTTGACCCTCGTGTCAGAGCTCAGGAAACCCTGATCATTGTAGGTACACTTTCTTCCGAAAAAAAAANNNAAAAAAAAACAGTGCTCATTCCATCGCTACTGTTTCAGGTAGAATGTGACGTAAATTCTTATTTGGGGGAGCACGCCACAGCAAACACACTCGCTCTTCTCGCTTCATTTTCGCGACACGGTAGACGGTCGATTGTTTCAGTTCCGTACTGCGAGGACTTATTAAACATAGCTTCGCTTTTCACAAAACATATTTTCGTTGTCAGCAGTGACGGGAACCTGAAGAACATTCAAGACTGAATCCTGCCAAATAAAAAAGTTCCTTCTTAGGCTTACCAAAGAATCAATTTTCCATGTTTACTCAAAGAACTGGAGAACTTAAATTTACCACGAATTCCATCAATATGTTTATTATGTTGCCAAAAAGCGCAGTTGTTTGCCATCAGGAACTTGTTAGGGCTTCTAACGCACTTTTTTCTCTGCTATTCTAACGCCGGAACTGGGTAGTATTGACTCGTGGCTTTCTTCCGTTTCTTGCTCCTGGATTGATCTCTCTTTGAAATCTTTACAACTAAAGGCACAGTTCACGACAAGAATGGTTTACGAGGGTTGCCCATAGTATGAATTCGAGGCCCGCCTTATACCTTACCCATCGTTATAAGGTCGAAAAGCGTCCTGCACAGGGCACAATAAGGGACCAGAGATTGTATCGTGTGAATGCCACACATAGGGGGTAAGTTTCAACGACGTGCAGAGGCTGCACTATCTCAAGGGATTCCCATGTAAGAAGACCGAACTTGTCATAGTCCATGGCGACAGTGAAAGGCAGTTTCGGAAAATTTCGGCCTGATACAGTTAGTTCGTCCACACACCCCTTAGGCTGCTTTCAGAGTTCTTCATCGGTGTGCCTTTCGCGCGTGCGTCCGACCGACCGACGGCGGCGCTAACCACTCGTTGACAACACTAGACGTCGATGCCAGATTTGCCAATAGTTTTGTCAACACGTAACCACCAACACCGTCGATCAGTCGGTCGTTCGAACGCACGCCTGCACACTATTTCCGACACGATGTTCTCGTCGCCGATGTTCTGCTCTACATCAACGCTTCCATTTTTGGTACCTCAAAATTATCGTGAACTGCGCCTTTAAATAGGGCCTTTTTTCAAACGAAGCCAGTGTAATATTTTACCATTTTCTTTTTATGTAGCACTGAATACCGAATTTAACTCTACTTTTGAAGCTTTTGAACATTTTAATAGATAAAAGTGTTTATTCATATGCAATATAAAATATTAAAGTGAATATGATCACATGTGTACACAACAAATGAAATCAAACAATCGCGGCGATAGCTTCACATCGAAATATCGACCGCAGTGGTCACCCATTCAAAAAGAAAAGATATGAATCAGGCTGAAGCTTAATTCGAAAGTTATACAAGAGTAGGCAGTTACAAAAACCTAAAACATCAACAATGTCTGTCAAAGTCAACCTGTTGAGCAATGGAATGCGTGATTATATCCACAATATGAGATATTTCATACAACGCTGCTATCGTCATAAAGTGTAAAGAAATGAAAAATATGATTGCCTAAGGGCAGTACAATTATTAAAAGATATCCTACATTTGCGATTGACTCCACTGTTCTCGTTCGTGTTGTAATTCGGCACGATAAAGACTGGGTTCGTACTTTTTCCTTTTGAAAAAACCACACCGCCATAGTATTAAAATCATAATAAGCAGAATAAGAAGGCCAATCAATGCGCTGACTAGGATTATCCACCACGGCACAGGACGAGATCCTGAAATATCTCTCTAGATAAACTAACGACATTGCTTGTTTCGATTAGATGTTTTGTTAAATGCTGTTATTTCGTCGCAGTACATTACTACAAAGAGTCACGAGATTGGCCAGTTATGGGCAACCGTAGCACTACGGAGCGTTGTATGTGTGAGTGCTGATAAGCTAAGGCATAAGCCATTAGGAAGACGGTGGCAAACGGGGTTTGGTAGTGCAGTGGATAAAGAGCATAGCGCCGGAAAGCACAATTACAGGTGCGAGCCTGTTGGAGGCCGGAGTTTTCTCCACAACTCACCCACTTGTGAGTAAAAAATAATTGCCAGGTTGGTTCAAGGAAGAATGCGTAATTTAAATTGGCATTCAAGTACCAATGACTAACCAAGAGCAGGTCTATCGGGATATGCGACCGTTTTAACGCTGATTGCATTATTGCTGGGATCATCTTCAATTCCTTGACTTGTGTCCAATTCGATTCTTCCATATGAAGCTATTTCAACGTATTCTACATCAGAGTAGTCCTAAAACTCGAGATTGAAATGGGCAAGGTTTAAAGCTGCCAAGTCAAACAATGTATCATTCTAACCTCAATAAAAGTTGTGTTCCATAATCGTGCCCGGAAGTCGATAACTGGAGCGGAGTTCGCGTCTAGAAAGTCGAAATGGCACGTAACCGTGAAGCACTTCGCCGTTTTTTCAGCACAACCCTAAACGGATTTTTCAAAACACCGGACACTGACAACAGGATGATATCTAAAGAGAAAAACCTACAATAGTGACAACGGAAACGTCCACTCCGTTTTCTTTGCGTTTATGAGGTTCTATCCGTGTACGTAAGAGGCCGGCTTCAACAACCGTGGTTTTCCCTGTGTTTCGCTAAAATCGCCATTGTTATTAACTCCAATGCATTGAATTGCATTTGAATTTCTGAATGATTCTGACTGACTACTATATAAAGCTTGCCTTGACACGCCGTGTAACGGGTGCATGAGGTGTCGTCTCCTGCGTAGTATACTTAGTGTTCAGCTTGATATGATCGAGTGGATTCACATGCTCAAGCTTCCGCTCAACAGAACACCTGAAGAAGTTAAGAATGAAATGCGATGATAGGTAACGGAATTCTGGGACAAAATCTCTAAATTGGATGGCGNGCTACGAAATTATGAAATGCTTTTGCCCTCCTCCCCCTTTGCGATTTCGGAAAAATCTAACGAAGTAAGGAAATGTTTTCTTTTTGGGTGTAGACCACCTAATGAGCTTCACTGCGAAATAATGGTAGCATTTACTGATGCAACTGCTTCCCCTTCTCGGAATGAGTCATATCACGTTATTATTTATCTACAAACCTTGGATCTTAAGGGTACACTAAGATAATTTTTGCCTGACAAGGTTATGTCACCCTTCGCGCTCTCAAACTCGAACCGAATGAAATAACTACAACAAAGATCACGATATCTTGCAGATAATATTTGTGCAAGCAGCTCACCTTCGTATATCTACACTTCCATCAGTGTTATAAATTGTTGCAGTAGGCACGTCAAGTAAGTAGAGAGCCCACTTTCCTTTCTGTCGAGGAGATTCAACTTGGAAAGGCCATTCGAACTGGAACATCAATTTTTTACAAACCAAGAGCAATAATTCACAAAGAAAACAGAACATTGTATTGAGGACTTCATGAGAACAGTAGAAACGAACCTTGGCATAGACATTGCGCACAGTCCATGGTCCTTTATTATGCAATGTATAATTATGACGAACCATAACACCAATGTCTTCCTCCAAATCCATTGAAGATTCATCTTAAAAATTAGGAATTCATTTTAGAAAAGTACTTGACAGATAGTAAGCCTCGCAATACCCAACCTTTTATTTCGCCACCATATCGTATGAGAGGGGGATCGCTAGCTCCTACGAGCTCTAGCTCAGCTTTTTTGATTATTTGGAGTTCAGATTTCCAAACGTTGTCACCTGAAAATAGGAAACATGAAATGGGAAAAGGGAGTAATTTGAAAATACTGAAGAGTCACTTTCTATTACAAAAGTAAATAGTTCACCTGGATTTGTTTCCTTCGAAGTGGAGTTGACGATGGCAGAAAATTGGAGCGGCCGACCGATTCCTTCTGTTCTTCCACGCATTAACTTGAAACGGAGATCGAACGAGTGCTGGAAAAACTGAAAATCACCGAAGGGCAGACCGAACAACATACTTTCTCTGTTTCATACCTTAACATTGGAATCCATTGGGTTACCGAGGTGAACAATAACAACATTTTTGCCAACAGTCTCCCAGCCAAGCTTGGCTCCTCCTTTAATGAGCGAGTTGGAAATGCATATTGCATATATTAAATTCACAAAACTATCCACAGTTTAAACTCACCGACGACCATGGGAAGCTCAAGTTCTTCTGGATCGTAAGTGAGGAACAGCGCTGCTTGATACGCTTTCTCTTTACGATTTTCCACAGTAAATGTGATGTCAAGATAATCCTTATCGCCTACATTCGACACGTATCCCTTCTCAGTCCTAAAAACTCAGCAAAACCTTTTCATTCATTCAAAAGGAAAAGCTGGTCCAAAGGATGGCCTTCATTGGATTCGAAATCAACCGTTACTACAAAAGAAAGTGTGAAAGTGGTCCAAACGGAAAAATACCTACTTTGGTATATCAACGAAAACTGCTTTAAGGACGAGGTCGGTTTGGCATACTTGATCGTCACCGCATCTCGTGTTAAAAGGTATCTGAAGGTGAAAATTTTAAAGTCGCAGACATGTTTGCCAAGAAGCACCACAGAGCTTATCACAAGGAAAATTTTAACTCACCTGGAATTCGTAACTGGCACCATACTTATTGAGGATCGGATACAGCTTCAAATCAACAATTGGACGCCCTTCAGCTGGATGAGAAGGCTTCCGCTCATTCATTATTCGCACAGTGAAACGAAACTTAAGTGGGTTTATCCAGTCCTTCGCCGCATTGTCGTTTTCCTGCAAGATGACTGATTTGCAGTATTTACTGAAAACACTCTGGCTTCGTTCGGTTCAGGACTACATAAACAAGATTCATGTCACGATAATAAACTAGAAATAAAAGATAGTAAGAAAGAAAGGAAAGAAATGATAGGATAGAAAATAAACTTAAAATATTTGGACTATTTGGAATATTGCCAATTGACCAAAGTCAATAAATACACAGGGTATTGGGCAGTTGTTTCGCAGATTACAGCGACCGCGAAATTGTGGACACAGTCGTAAAACGCAATAAAGAGTGATCAAGAACTCGAACTTTAAAGAGATCGTTCATCTAGGTACCCCATTACAGCATGTTGGCCATTCCTATATATAAGATGGAACTAGGGCGAGTAAGGACTTTTGGAGCGTTTCATTTCTGAACTGTACAGTTAAAGAGGGGTGCCTCTTAATCAAGACACTTCCCAATAACTCGCTCTTGCCGCGTCTTGTAAGGATATGAATAGTCGTCAGCTGCTGATGACCTCAAGTATTTCTAGTTTGTGTTCTAGAGGTGCTTGAATGAAATTATGTAGTAATCTATGCCCATAGAGGTGGGAAAGACAAAATCATGCGATGTAGTTTGAGAACTCCATAACACACCACATGGAGAAATAAAAACTCACAGGTATATAAATGGTTTCCGTATACTTTTGCTTTCGACGATGAGCGTCTCGACCGCAAGGCCAACTGTGATTCGTAGAAGCAGACCTAGCTATGGATGCCCTCAACGGAACACCTTGTCTGACCGGGATTACCTGAAGTGCGAAAGATATTCTCTATTCATCAAATGGTGACTAACAAAAGAACCTCCAAATTGCAGATGAACACATTTGAATTGAAATCGACCAAATCTGCTCCTTTAGAAGGATCATGATCAACGAAAATCTCGAGGTCTAGTGGGAAACTGAAAAACGGAAGATAACGGAAAAATTACATATAAAAAAAGTCTAGACATGTACTCACCATGTCTTAGCACCACGCGGGCAATTTCTACCTTTTTCGATATCAATGAATGGGGTAGCTGTCTTGTGTGCAGCCATAATGCTTATCACAGGCCGCGATCTAGAATGGGGGAATGAATTCACGGAATGAAGAAATTGGATTCAACACAAAAGTCTCTCAGGCTGACCGCAATATCGTGACCACTCCTTCAGTAACCGCTCCAACGACAAGGTCAGGATATCCGTTCCCGTCGAGGTCAGAACCACCAGATAAAGAAAATCCAAAGGATCTTACGGGACGCCGAATATTCGGAAGATCGGAACTCATGATAACCTAGCAAAGGCAAAGAAATGTAGTGAGATGCGGAACAACGAAGCAGAATGAATGAAAAAAAGCTGCTTCCACAATAAAAAGCTTAGATATAAGGATGGAGATCTGGAATTACCTGCGCGGGTTTCGTTCTGAATTCTTTCTTTGACTTTTCGCCCAAATAGACGTAAACTGCTCCTTTTCCATCGTTGGCAAATGGAGCCCCAACAGCAAAGTCTGGAACAAAACCGAATTGGATGTTTTATCATCTTGAAATAATCACTCTTGTAAAGATGATACCATTGTAACCGCGCTTGTCACCATCAAGATTTCCGAGTTTTGTAATTGACAGACCGAACTGGGAGAAAAATCCGGGTGCCTTCAGCGTTACAGGAGAATGGAAAACTTTATTTGATTCGCCCTGTGGATATAGATTTTTAAATTAAGGAGAAAACTCAAGAAGAAATTGAACGAACAGTACCTTTTTACGTTCTACTCCTTGAGAAAAATAAACGTAAACAATTCCGCCAAAATGTCCGTCAGCGTCAGCGCGATGTTCAAAAGGAGCACCAACAATTAGATCGTCGAAACTGTAAAAATACCCAGTCATTTTCGTAATCCAGGAAGCACAACAGAAGATTTCGTAGGCTCACCCGTCGTTATTCAGATCTACAACCGCAATCGCGTATCCGAAAGCGGACCCCATTTTGGTGCCGTTCAGAACGAATCTATCCTCAGTGAATGTCAGAAGTTCTCCACGCTCCTGAACGACTAGGAAAATTCTGATATTAACTGAAGACTTATTACTGACTGCCCAGCAATCCCAATTTCATTGGGAAGCAGAACCAAAAATGTAAATATTGGCATCATGTAAAGTAGAACCTATATTTTATCAAGTAGACTATATCACAAAATTTGAGATGTAATGTGTAATAATAAGAGAAAATTAGAGGAAACCGAGGACAAATATTGAAGGCCTAGACGAAATAAAACTAAAAAAAGAAAANAAAAAAAACAAGAAAACATACTCTCGTGAAGGGAAGGAACACTACAGCCCCATGTTGTCCAAAACGCGTGGCGCCAGAAACTATTGTCGCCTTTTCTCCATTTTCATACCTAAAAGGACCACGTCACTATGGGCCTAAAGAGTAAATGTCATGTAAACTGTTCAAACGAGAGGAACATTTATCTGCTGCACTATTAAAAATGCGATGAAAACACACCAAAATCCGAATCGTCCAACGTTTACCGAATAGCCAAGGTAGTCATGTGCAGCTAACATAGTTCGTACCCCTCCATCTTCAGGCGCCATTGTATATTTCTCGATCTGCACGGAAGAGTGAAATGAAAAGAATAGAATCGTAAACAGCCTAACAAAAAAATGGCAAGCGAGGGCAAAAAAAAAATAGCAGCAGGCGTCGTAATGTTGTAAAATGCAAAAAAGTTCAGGACAAAGCTCACTATTTGCAGTTGATTGGGAAAATAAATCATTTTTTGATCATCGGCAGAAACCAAAGAACAAAAATCTTGTAAAGGCGGAAGAAAACCCGATCAAAGCATCCTTTTAGGAGTATAACTTACAGTGGTGCCGAAAATTCCACCTTCCGATTTGCGAGCGTACACTCCTCCAGTCCACTTCATTGCACCAATCAAGCCGGTTACGACAACGTTCTAAAGAGGCAGGAAAGGTGATAACAATAAAGCCCGTGAACAACCTTTTTTTTGATCGCGACACAAATGACAATTGCTTCCCCAAAGTGAAGCAAAAAGTTCCCAAACAGTAGAGACCGAAGGGTTCCTGTATGGCTAAAGATCTACAGAGCTTGATGGAAAATTGTGATCCGTTCCTACTAGGTAGGTAGTGTGGGCACAAATTCAAAATGAATATACACGTACCCCAGAAAAAGCTGCTGAAAAACCTTCCATACATGCTCCGTATTCGTTGTGCCGATCAAGTTTAGGAAGATTTTTCTGGAGGCAAGTAGTGTACGTGCCCCCCAAGGTTAAATCAGAATTGAGCTCGTAACAGGCGCCTTGGGTGTAGGCACTAGTGTTGTGAAATCGCATCAATGGAGCACAAACCTAAAGAGAGTTTTTCAGGAGGAACCAGATCAAGAGAATAGGCATCGCATTTAAGTGGAAGACTATTAACTCACAATAGCCCCTCCTCTTCTGGTGCCCTGAGAGGCCAAAGATGCGCCGAGCAGTTCTCCATTTTTCCCGAGGTAATGAACTTCCCGTCCGGTAAGTGTTAGATCTGGCGATTTCTGATATGATGATTTGTCCTCGTATTCAGAACGAACTTGTTCACACCTAAGCATGAACATTAGTGGAGGAATACTCTATTACGGACAAGGGTTGCAGAAAAAAATCCTAATTAAAAGTTAAAGTTAAAGTTTTTGGCGTTAATCAATCCCGTCTGAGGGATGCGCCCCCGCACTCGACTTCCATTCAGAATCGTAGTAGCGTAATGAGTGCGTATGTGGCCCATACACTGACTTGCGGTGGCCAGCCGATATGTACAAGTCAGTGCTTTTATCCTCCCAGACGAGTCTGGTACCAATTCACCGACCCCGGAGGGATGGAAGGCTTGGTTGGCCTAGGCGGGCATCGATCCTGGATTCTAGCCCCTGACCGTGCGTGGGATATAGTGCGCCACTTGCCACTACACCACCTCCGCCCTATCCTTAGATCCTAATTAATGGATAGGTATTTTCTGGGAAAGAAATTCCTCTTAACAAAGAAATAAAAACAATCTCCTTCACTTCCCTGCAAATCCCAAGTCCACAGTGCATTCTGAGCGTTAGATTAAACTTCCTGCGTCTAGAGGCTTTGAACTTTATACCCTTTTTCTAAACAACAGGCGCACAGCGAAGTTGCCGAGCAAGAAGGCCTACAGTTACCAGAATGACATACTGTTCGCCCATCAGAATACGAATGACTAATGGAGCGCAGATGCTTACTACCCTATAAGATTCCATGCCTAGTGTGACGGTGTCAGTTTGGAAAACTATTGACTTCCGCTGAGCAAGAGGTTTTGCCAAGCACGGCTCAGATTAAAATGAAACATCAAAAAAACATAAACGACCATAAATATAATCGAACGACACTACGCATAATCATTTGTCTCAAATTCTCACCATTGCGATCCATTGCCGGAATAAATGGTATTGATGGGGCAAGCAAATAAAGCGCCTGCCTGGATTGTCCCTATTTGACCTGACTCGGCACGAGGAGCTCCTACGAGTACACTGCAAAATGCCACACAGTATAGTTGAAGTCCCAAATTACCGGATAAAAACTATAGAAAATGAAGAAATAATAAAGCCCCCCAACAAAAATGATATCAAATAGGGAAATACATTTTTCTGAAGGTCTTTGATGTAAAAAGAAAAAGAGAAAGTACAATTGCTGTGAGACCCTAATGCGCACATTAAGTAATGTCGACGATGGTATGAGAACAATGGTTGAACCGAAATTGTTTCTAGAACTGGCACAACTTGTCTACACAAGGTTTCTACGAGGCTAGAACAAAAAAGTTACATCAACGAAACTCCTTTTGGCATAAAAACAGAGAAGAGAATTATGGTTTACTCAATAAAAAGTTACATACTAATTGTTCTTTGATAGCAGCTGTAACTTTATTACGAAGACATACCAGATAGCAAGCGAACTGCTATTTTTCAGAAGTGCAAATGTAAAGTATCGCCCCTATAACTTCCGCATTCCCCTTTTCCTAAGAACTATTGAGTTTTGCCATCTTCCTCGTTTTCCGTCGCAACAAATAGAGAAATTCACAAAAAGAGATGCCGGGATTTAACGGGAAGTATATTTTTCATTCAAATATTCGAACAAGAAGAAGTATTACTAAGGTATGAAAAATAGAGAAAAAAACAAAAAAAAAGAAAACAGAAGAGAGGCGTNAAAAAAAAAAGAAAACAGAAGAGAGGCGTCGGTTTAATCGTTTCCTTCACTCAAAAAAAGGATTATTTCTAAATGAGTGCCCAGAACCGATGAGTAATTCTCGTTGTTATGCAAAAATAAGAAATTACTGGCAGCAAATCTGTAAATATAATACGAAATAGGTGTTTGTATACATTTCAAAATTACAAAACTGAGCAGTGTTTACATATCCCAACTCTTTTGGAATGAATTCAGAAGTCTTAGCAACAAGCCAAAAATCAGCTAAAGAGGAAGTGATACGACCGTAGTATTAGCAAGGACAGAAGTTATAAAAACTTATTAACCTTGAGATATTTCAAAAGTTTCACAGAAGCAGTTTCACATATGAAAGTCATTTAAAAAAAGAAATTGAAGGAGAAAACTGCAAAATCCAAAGCTTACACTGGCACATCTCCCTTGAAATGTTCGGCGACTGTATAGCCAAAGTAGGTTCCATCAGGACCATATTTGTATATGGGAGCATAGACGTCCAAATTGAAAGCGAAATTAGGCGACAGTAAAGTGAATAGGAAAAGAGACGAAATCGGAGGCGGCGACGAACGCCCTCGTCGTTGCAACATTGACCTCGATGATCAGGTAGTGATGACGGCCAATACTGGTACGATGATGATAAATTAATGGTGGGGCAAGGAGTGAGTCATCGTCTCGTTGAAGATTGCGATGATAAGGGCAGCACTCGCGATCGATCGTCGTCGTCAGCCCGTCGTCTGGCGCCCTGCAAAAACTGTACAGTCAGAATGGGACAAAGAAGTAGCCGATGACTGGGCTGAGTCAGCAAACGTGGGAATGACTCAAATTCATCACAATGAGGAGGAAAACGAGGCTGCGACAGCGATGAGTCAGAAAAGCAGTGGGAGGGGAGAAGCAGGAGAAGCTACAGAGGCTAGGGGGACGAGAGCCAAATGCTGGAGACAGAATGCGTAACACGACCGGCGGCCGGTGTGGACCACCTGCGAGACTCCAGTCGCGGGGGTGTCGTGCGAGCGGCGGATCCCTCCCGCGTTGCGACGTTTGCACAATGTCCGTTGGGCGCCCAAAGAGGTCAATACACAACGAGCTGGGCCGCTCGGCAAGCTGGACCTCCCCGGGAATCCTCGTCGACAAGCCGGCAAACAACGGCTACCCCGAGTTGGTAAATAATCCGCCGGAATCCGCTGACCTTTGCACCACTCGAACGTCTAAAGGAAGCTCACCCATCACGTGAGAGGAGGGGATTGGGTTTCGAGGGGTAAGTGATTCGAAAGGAAAGATTTAGCGGAAACCAGGTTAAGAAGTCGGTTAATCTTTACTAGAATGGTAAAAGTCCTCAATTTCCTTTGAAGAACACCACGCATTGGGTATCTGTCGCCCTCATGGGGTAAAGCTCGTGGGCAAAAGAGAATCCTGGATAAAGTAGAACACAGCAACGTACATCCAGTGATGTGCATGTGATTTCGGAAGGGAATAAAGCGGGTGGTCGTCAGCACTTCTCATTCACAGCGGCCATCAAGGGCCAGCTCCGGCTATTTAGGGGGCCATTCACTGACGCATTCGGGACTGAAGAGCGACCGCGCCCATATGGCTCTGATAGGAATCTCCGCGTGTAGCATTCCAAACAGCGCTTCTATTCGGGATTGCCAGATTTATCAGAAAAAAGAGTGAGCGAATTTGATGGTGGCAATAAGAATAAGAGCACTTGACGCACTACTTGACGGTCTTTAAAAACTATTTATTTTCTCAGGGTTGAGTAGTACAAGCACCATAGGAAAGCCCGTGTATCGGAACCCCCTCCCCCTACCAATTCTCCCAGGCTCGGCGTTCAGCACGTATTTTCAGCATTTCAAACACTTTTTCGGCCTAAAGGAGAAGTTAAGCCTAGCCGCACCTGGGCCGGGATTTACCCCCCCTCCCCCTCCGCCTTCTATTACTCCCTTTCTATTATGCGTAGAAATGC